TTTTTGCCTTAAAAGGAAAAGAAGGCAAAAGGCTCTGTCATCAAATTAGCAGCCAAGATAATTTTTTTGTATTTTCTCCAATATCCCAAACTATTCTGCCTCTGTTGTCCTTTCTAAGCTCGATTCTATGAGAATTGAGACCTCAAGTTAAGGGTACTCAAGTTAAAGTATAACTACTATTCAAGTTCTTTAGAGGAAACAGACACATACAACTTAAAAGTATACACGGGTGAGGTAAGAATCAATAACCAACCTCCAGATTTCAAATAATATATTGCAAGTGTAAGCCAGGTATTAATTTAAACTTTAAAGAGAATAAAACTAGAAAATTAATGATTGTTAAGTTAATCAATTGTACACACACCTATCCTTCTTCGTTGTTGGCCAGCACCTCCAGCAGGAATCATTGCATCCAGCTGGCCCAACAACTGGCTGGAGATACTACAATCAAAGGGCAAGGAAGGAGAAATAAATTAATTTCATTGAAAATGAAAATACAACAAGTATCACTATGAAACATGACTTGTAAGAACAAACATTTTAGAGTTTCCAAGTCTAAATTGTCAAATAAAGAGTTGCATAAAACTAACACCACGTAGCTTCATCAAAAAACATAGAAAGCTGTGAGTCAAAAATCACCACACCCACCCTTAACCATCCTCCAAGCAAGGAAACAGTGCAAAGATAAGTACCTCATCTCACTCTCGGAAAGCTCTTTGGCTTGAGTGTATAACATCTTAAGTTTTGACAGGGAATTGTCACCTGGTTTCTCAACGGCTTCTGGAGCTGCAGAAGGAATGGGAAAGTGCCCAAATGTTAAGTGCCATAATACTTACACTATAAGTCTAGGTAGATACATGTCACATGCAAGTTTTCTACTTCAAACAGGTCAATGATCTTCGCCAATAAAAGTAGTGCTTAATTTTAATATTTTATTACCTGCTTTTTGAATTTTGGGAGATCACACAAATCCGAATTTATAAGAACTTTCCAATTCTTTGGATTTAATCATGAAAAGCATTAGAATCTGTCAAATTCACACCAACTTCAAACAAGGGAGGAACTTGAAGTTATCAGAGAGAAGATGTAAAATTCAAATGAATTATGTAGATTCCTAATACAAAAAAATTGTTTAAAGGGGATTCACAAATGACTACATTACTTAGTAACTAATCATATAGAAGCAAAAATCAGTTGGATAACCCCATAAACCAGTGGCATTAGAACCTAGAACCTCTCGCTCTACCATAATGTGTTGTACACAGCCTACCCAAATGCAAGCATTAGTAGTTGCTTCCACAATTTGAACCCGTGACCTAAAAAACTACCAATACACATCAAAATTCACAAAGTAGGGTAAATACAAAGGATTTTAGCAGGTCATTAATTACTGTTTCTCATAGAATTTGCCTGACCTGATTGCATAAATATTTATTTTTAGTGCATTCAACTTCTAACCACTTTCTTCACTAACTCTAATTTAGCCAGCCACAAATATAAATTGTGATCAAACGAGTAAAAATTAATAATTTAGAGTTGAAATACTAACTGTTTTGAAGCTTTTTGTGCATCTTATTGATTTCAAGGAGTACTTCCTCTTGCTCTTTCCTTAAACGATCAAGCTCCTTCGATTTTTCCAACATTTCAGCAATGTCCGGTGACGCCATTTTACTTTCTTTTCCGATGGGAATCGGAAATTCCACAAGTTTCGATACCTAACCCGGAAGAAGGAGAGCTCGCAGCTAAATCATCGTCACGTCGTCTTAGGTTGTCGGAGACTAATTGGGAGATACGCTTCGCCTGAGAGTTGCGTCAAAAGTCCTCTTTGCCCCTTTGATATTTTGTTTTCCCTTCACTATTACTACTAAACGTAAAAATAGCACAAAACATGTGATGGAATATTCTTCCTCTTTACAAATACTTATGGATCGTTTGCTTAGATAATTCATCAAGACAATAAACAGATTAAGATTCAATCCAATTCAAATTTAATTGGGGTAAAACTAATCAAGTAATGGATCATAAATGGATCAAGATCAAACCAATCTTACTAAGTATTCATTATTTTATTTATTTTTTAAATTATTTAATACCTAATAAATTATTATTATTTTTTATTATGACTATATATAACATATCAAATTAAATAAATAAGCTTTTAAAAAAAATATTTTAACAAGATCTCTCATAAGTCAATCTAAATTACGTATCAATTTAATTTTTAATGTACTCAAATGAATTGAACAAATGAATAAGTGGGACAATAACCCATCCAAACTTAAGCAAATTGGACATGTTGGATAGTAGGATTTAATTTTATCACTCATAAATCCAAATAAACCCCTCATCTATTAATAGTTAGCAATATAATAATTAAAAATATGAAATAATACAAATATTTGATAATCACATGATTCGTTATCTTTCTTCATATAAAATTGATAGGGAATGGGAGTCCATTTTAATGAGGAACAATACGATAGTTGGACTTTTGTAACATAATATAATTTAAAATATCTCCGAACAAAATATCACAATCTAAAATAATTAGAAAAAATATTATCCACACATGAGATAATATGATCTTAGTTATTACTCGAATAAGATATCTTGATCTAAAGCGATTAGAAATAATATTTAATATTATTCACACATTTCCGGATCCAATTACTAGTTGCATCTAAAAAAGAATTCTCAAAAAAATGAATTGTAAGCTTCTGTTAAAAATTTTAATCGAAGTGATTTGCTTAAGATAATTTTAGTCGGGAGTTAAAAAATTATCATAACACCAATAATAAAATATAAAAAAATAACTTAAGGCATATATATATTTTTGGGAAAAGGGTTAAAAATGCCCTTAACGTATTCCTAATGGTTCAAAAATACCCTCCTTTCACCTTTTGGTTTAAAAATGCCCTCAACGTTTTTTTAAGGTTTAAAATTGCCCTTTTTTAACAGTTTGTTGACATGGCAAATGCTGAGTCATTAAATTAGACAAATGGCTTCATCTTATTGGTCCACCTATTTTTTTAAAATCCAGCCCAACGACCCGACCCATCTGTAATACAAAAATTCAAACCCACCCACAAACCCATTTAGATATTAACCTAACATATCCTTGGAACTCCATTTTAGCGCCATTCTCAGCATATTCAAATTGGAGGCGCCATTTTATCTGCTTAAGCCACACCAAAAATAACCAAAAGAATGTCATCTTCTTCAGTTTCATCAGCACAAGTGGTATACGCCTCCCGTGTCTTCTTGCTTGCACCATTTGCATGACTGTTGGATATTTCCCCTACACCTCAAGCATGTGAATTGTCTACTCCACTCTGCCTGTTCACAACATTCCCTGTTTCTGCTATTCCACTTGAGTGTGGTGGAAAACGATTGTCTGCATACCTTCTCGAGTCACTGTTTTCACCATCTTCACCAACACCTTGATGCACTGGCCTGCACCTCGCTGGAGCACAGTTTCCATCAGATGCACGCGGAATCTGTGTGTGATTAGAGTGTTGTGAAAAAACATTGGTATCTTTGGTTAGTTGTAGAGTTTTCCCTGGTCTTGTGCGGCTGCGAACTAATACCCTTGGAAGATTTGCTTATGCATAACTTTCCGATTAATTGCTACCTTTTTGAATGCACTATTCCTTAGAGTTACTATATGAATTTTAATCTTAAGAATTAGTTGTCCAAGATGGTTGTAATCAAATTTCACCTATCGGGTCAAATTTTTGAACAGATGAATTGAAGGAGAAGAAAGAAGAGAACTAGAGCTAATGGGAACAAAAGACCCAAAAAACGATCAGCCTATCGGATCAAATTTTTCGAAATTGGTTTTTAGACTAAGTGGGTCATATATTTTAAAATGGGTAAAGAAAATCCATGTCACATTTGCCATGTCAGCCAGCTGTTAAAAAAGGGCAATTTTAAACCTTAAAAAAATGTTGAGGGCATTTTTAAACCAAAAGGTGAAAGGAGGGCATTTTTGAACCATTTGGAATTCGTTAAGGGCATTTTTAATCCTTTTCCCTATATTTTTTGTACTCTTATATGGACGATTTTCGAAGAATAATTTCATGATTTTTCTTTTAAAAAAATAGAATAATAAGAAAGGCAACATTTAAAACTTTCACAAAGATCAATGAACAGTAGGAAGTAATAAGAAACTTTTTGGCTCGATCGATTTAAAATTTGATGAAAAAGAAAAATCAGAAAGTAATTGATAATCAGTATATATGTCATAAAGAGATAGGGAAGGAAAACTAACCTTTGAAACTGCCTCAAGAGAGTGTTTGGCTATAGATAGAGGAGGTGTTAACCCTCCCTCAAATTAATACTGAATGTCAAGAAAACCTTCCCTAAAAGATGCGACGGTAACTTTCAAATAATACTATCATGTCACTGGTAATGGTAACTTTCGGTGAATATTGGGATAAAAGTTTTTGTATAAATTATGCAGTCAAGGAAATTGTTTTAACTCAAATAGTGTATTGTAAGATCTATTTTTGAGGACAGTGTTACTATGATCTTTTATGTTTTCATTAAACAAAAAAGAGATATTTATTTTTGTACTTATTACAAATAAGCTATACTTTTTAAAATATATTTTAGTAAAAAAAAAGATATTTATCCCTGCAATAATAAATCTGTTTCATCTTAATTTCTCTTTTTTTATATGGAACCTATGTCACATATTTTTCCCTCAATTAAATCTATTGAGTATATTAATTACCTCATTTTTTTAATTTATAAATCATATTATATATATACATATATATATATATAATGTTTTTGTTTTAGTGACGGATAAGTTTTAAGTATTATTTTATAAATTTCGTGATATTCTCGCACGGTGATTTTACTAGTCCCACTTAATTTGGGAATACAATTTAAATTTCCCGCTCATAAGACGTGCTGGAGCATGGCACCGACAAGGGTTGACTTGGCACTAATTTTTAGCAAGAACAATTCTAGTCTGTTTGACAATTCAAACGCTATATAAATTACCTAAATTAATTGCATTAATGGATTGATGATCATATAGGATTGAGTTTTTTCTGATAGCTCTGCAACTCTTTGGCTTTCCTTAATCCTCCGGATTAGCCCCTTGAGGTATATTTATGGAAAATTTAGAAATTTCTGCATAATTTCAAAGGCAATTATCCGACAGATAATTGGAGCAATGTGAAATTTGAATTGATTAGTGTGGTGTAAGTAATCAATTTTTTGGGATAAGGGAGCTGAAATTGATTTGTAACTGTACAGGAATCATTTTGATGTTTTAGGGTTGACCATAATGCAATACAGTTTTGGCATTTCTGTTGTAGATCATTGAAGTCAACTCTTTGCGGCTTCTCCTTTTTGTGATTCTGAAACTGCTCCGAGGGGAATGGGTTCACCTACGCGCAGGTTTTTAGTTTTAAAGTGATTTATGGGTCCTTTTATGGAGAGAATATTTAGTTTTTAACTTAAGACCTTTTGTGACAGCTCAAACAGCAGAAGAGGAAATGAAATGATGAGGCTTCTTGTGACAACCATTGTCGGAGTTGTGATTGGTATTTTCTTAGGCGTATCGTTTCCTACACTTTCATTGACCAAGGCAAGGGAGTTACTTTGGCTTTTGAATTTAATAAGATACATAACTATTTAATCGGGGTGGATCTTTAAGATGTAGAATCAATGTCTGTTCTGAATTCTTACTGTATTTGAAGAGCAAATGCACACACACATATGCGAAAAACACTCACTGCTAAGTGCTCTCCTGATTTAATGCCTCATTTTCACATTTGTGTAAGAGCTGATAAGATGATCTGCTTGTGTATTTCAATATTGCAGCTGAACTTACCTTCTAATCTTTTTGGGTTAATTAATCTCACTTACATTGAGGAGAAGTATTCAGGCCTCTCAGCGCAAGATCTATTAAATGTCTTGTCTTCCCTTAAGAAATACAGAGGCCATTCACACGGCCACAAGCATTCCGACACAAAGGTAATAAGATTTGCCGCTTATATAGGCTCCAACCAGCTTCTCTTGAGACTTTGGTGCTACAATTTTTTTGTTTCCATTTTATTATTACATTCGGATATTGAGGGTCAACTTTAGTTATATAGAGATAAGATTGTACCAAGTCTTTTGGAAATTTATACCGCCTTTCAAGACTTATGCTATTTGCACAAATATTGCAGATTTGGGTTCCATCAAACCCTCGAGGTGCTGAGAGGCTACCAGCGGATATCATTGCATCTGAGTCTGATCTTTATGCTCGAAGGTTGTGGGGCCTACCCCGTGAGGTCTGTGTTTTTCAGCCTTGATGCCTATCTAAAGTAGACAATAGAGTGGGGTTTAGAATGCAAAGGAAACATCCATGTTTTAACACATTGATAAAAAGGCCTTTTACATAAATGATATGCTCAGTTCATGGTACTAACATACCTTGAAGTTGATTTCAGGGGGAGGTTTAGAATGCAAGAAAATGATCCATGTGTTAACACATTAGCAAAAGGGCTTCTTTCCATAAATAATGACATGCTCAGTTCACATACTAACATATCTTGAAGTGGATTTCAGGGATATTGGTTGTCACGAATAGTTTATAAGTCAAAGAAATTGCATGGAGTTCATATAAAACTAATAATTGCTTGTGAATTGTGATACACCCTTTTAACTTTATTGCCTTACTAACAATCTTTAAAGTAGTTTGCTTAAAGATTTTTGGATGGATAGGAAACCAAGAAAGTCTGATTGGAAGTAACGTACTTGCTGAAGTGGGATATTTACATGCTTGCCTCCTCCTGATTTTGTTGGGCTTTGAAGAAACATTATGCCTTAGCTGTCAATATAGTTTTCGACATTGAACTTTCTATAATCCACTGTGATGACTGATGACTGGCGAGAATAGTGTATAGCCAGCTGAAACATGATTTTTAGTATACAATTATGAGTTAACACCCTCAATGATGCTTCTCTCTCACTTGCTTTCCTTTTTTTTTGGGATAGAGAAACATAATGACTACACATTATATCACTCTATCTGAGTCTGTTTCATCAATTGATCTGCAGGACTTGATTATCAAACCTAGGTATCTTGTTTGCTTTACAGTTGGCTACGAGCAGAAAAATAACATAGACGCGGCAGTGAAAAAGGTTAGGTTCAACCGTTCTCTAGCTCTATTTCCCTCTATTCACTCCTTTGAGTCCTGTCCTTCCAGGGGATCATTTAATTGTGAATAAGGGACTAGATAATCCCTAACCTAAGTTTTGTTTGCAACATATCTTAACATATAGCTTTTGCCTGCAACTGCAATCATGTTTTAGGTTTCCGAATGCTTTAGAAAAGTGATGTTGGAGATTCAAAACTTTACTCAGAATTCTTAAATGGGACAGAAAATAACAAGTTGTGGAAGGCAAAAGGTTTTTGGGAACATTTGATCTTTTGACAACAGGAAATGTTGAGATTTTCCATTTTCTAGTATTTGTTTTTTGAGTTGATTGTTTGACTATTTTCTATTCAATTTTACTTCAGTACAATGAATAAAAGCAACAAAATATTTGGTTTTTAATGCTCAACTAAGCATTAGCTATTTTGATTGATACAAAATTTGGTTGCATGTTTGTAGATACAAGTAACCAACAAAACCTTGTTTAGTGTTTCTTTATCTTCACCAAGAAGATGTTATATCATCTTTTTTCTCTTATGGAGTTTATGTTGCTTGATTTTTGTACACTTAACTTCGCTCGTGATTATTGATATTTTCAATAGTTGTAATGTCTCTTTCCTTCGATTATATCCTGTATGTGCCCCTAAATAAGACACTTCCTGCAATAGTCCCAGCATGTTCCTCAGTGGGATTATAGTTTCCCATAATTTTGTCCACAGACTAAACATACCTTCATCTCTTGTGGCTGTGCATGCTTACAGTTGCATCTTTAACAGTTTTCAGAGAATTTTACTTTCATGTTGTTTCACTATGATGGTCGAACAAGTGAATGGGATGACCTTGAGTGGTCAAAGCGGGCTATCCATGTTAGTACACGAAAGCAAACTAAATGGTAACTGTTTTTAACTTCCTTTGTTCTTAAGTGTTTCAGTACATTTTGGTGCATTTGTAAAAGTTTTTTCATTGTGTTGAAAGGTGGTATGCAAAACGCTTTCTGCATCCGGATATTGTAGCATCCTATGACTATATATTTATCTGGGATGAAGACTTGGGGCTTGAGAATTTTGATGCAGAGGAGTACGAATGATTTTTCACACATTCTTGTGAATCAGATATGTTGAATTTTATGAACTCTAATGTTTTATTACAATTGCAACTTCAGATATATAAAGTTGGTAAAGCAACATGGGTTGGATATCTCACAGCCTGGTGTAGCATCAAATAGTGAGTTGTCATGGCGGATGACAAAAAGACGAAATGACACTGACGTCCACAAGTAGGGTCACTTGCATTACTATCTATAACTGCAGACTAAAGCATCCCATGCACACATAGCACTGATCTCATATGCAGTCTATTGTTTGTGCTTGCAGGGAAACAGAGGAAAGACCTGGCTGGTGCACTGATCCACACTTGCCACCATGTTCAGGGTATGTTAATGCGTGATACTTTTTCTATGAACTACCTTCTCGCTTGATGGTTGGCATCAGTAGTTTTTCTTTTTGTCATCTGCATCCAGATTTGTGGAGATCATGGCACCTGTTTTCTCTAGAGATGCATGGCGGTGTGTTTGGTATATGATCCAGGTATAAACAATGTTCCATCGTTTTTGACATTTATTGCAGCTGACTCCCTCCCCCTTCAGACCCCTTCTATAATCTGGAAAAACAACCCTGCAAAAGTGGGAAATATAGAGAAAAATGAAAATGAATATTGCACATAAGAGGAGGCAGGGTTGGAGGATAAGTAACCATTTCGTGAATGCAAATATGAGTTGTTATTTGTTATTGCAGAATGATTTGGTCCATGGATGGGGTCTCGATTTAGCTCTCAGGAAATGTGTGGAAGTAAGTAATCCACCTTATGCAGTGGTGTAAAATTCTCCTGTATTCTTATTCAACTGGCATTATCTTAATAATGCTTTTGGATGAGCAGCCAGCCCATGAAAAGATAGGAGTGGTAGATTCTCAGTGGATTGTTCATCAAACTGTCCCTTCACTCGGGAACCAGGTATATCCCCGTTTCAGCCTTTTTTTTATCCTACTAGGTTATAAGTTTGGAAGTAATGGTTAGCTTCTTTCAACAGGGACAAGCAGAGAAGGGTAAAGCACCATGGGAAGGGGTATGCTGCAATATCTGATCCTCCACTAAATTGAAATTTGAGAAATATGAAATATTAACCAAAAAACAATATAATCACATTTTGAATTTGCAAAATGAACTTGTAGATTGAGTTCAAATCATTTGGGTTCATGAACGAAATTATGCTTGTCCTTTTCATTGTATCACACAATATTGATTGTTCTATCTGAACTTCCTGATGATGTATTATTTGGAGAAACCTTCTCCATGAAATTTCCATCTCACACATTTAATCGAAGAAGTGTTTTCTTGATTCTGTTACAAAGAAAATGCTGATCATTGATTATATTGTGTAAGTTCAGTTTTCATTCTGGCTTATAGGTAAGAGAAAGGTGTAAGAAAGAGTGGGCAATGTTCAAGGAGCGTATGGCTGGTGCAGAGAAAGATTATTACTACAAGACAAAGGGAATTGATCCCCCTAATTCTACATCTCATTAGGTAAAATGTCATATGATTAGGATCTCAACACTTCTTTTTTAATTTAAGTTATATACTTACATTTTTTTACACCATCCTTAGTACTAGTTAGTTACCAATCATATAGATTTACCTACAAGTAATCTGATTTTCTGAATATTTTTTGCCCTGTCAATGCAAGTAAGTTAACAATTATCTGTCGACTAACTTACAAGAGAGGTTTTTTGTTTGTTTGTTTGTTTTGTTAAAAGTACTATTTCATTATTCTTATCATCCTAATCACTTGGTGCAATATTTGATGTTAGAAAAACAAGTTTAGGACATATTTTTTTTGTTTCATCTGTTGCTCTCCATTTGTTTCTTCCTCGTGCATTTTCTGGCATTTCTGCCGTCTGAGTTTAGACAATTTGTCTCCAATGTTGTATGATTTCTTAGTTGATGTCAATTTGACCTTTGTGTTATAAAATATTTAATGGTAATCTCTCTTGATGAATAGTCAATAATGTTTGGTATTATTGGGGTTGAAAATCACTTGCACTTAATAACCACGAGATAGTGACAAGGTATGCCTACACCCCAAATTTCACGTGTGGGAATTACATTAAATATACCCTTCGGGGTGGCCCAGTGATTTGGGCTTGGGACTTTCATGTTGGAGGTCTCAAGTTCGAAATCCCTTGCCAGCGAAATCAAGGGGTTTGCCTTCTGGGTCGAGCTCGTCGCACCGGGCTTGTCTAGTGCAGGTTACCTCTCCTATGTGGTTTGCGAGCTATTGCATAGGAGAGGGAGTTTTACCTTGTGCGCACCCAAAGGGTAGCGGCTGCGGGTTTTCCCTTGTCATCAAAATAAAAAATTACTCCTAAATATGTTATTGTTACCCTTGTCTCTAAATAAACTATAGTAGGTATTATTTAACCATTGTCTTCTAAATTTGTCTGTACAGGTGCAATCTATTGCTGGACAATATACTATATACAATTGAGTGAGCTGTTGAAAGTACATTATCATGCAACAATGATTTTGTAACGGGAGATTTAATTTTGTAAATCTTTATAAATTTGTTTTTAATTTTATGTCATTTTTATAGGAGATTTTTATGTTTTTTACATGTAAAAAATATGAAAATATCATATTATTTTATTTAATTTGTATGTGATCATTTCTTCCTTTGTAATCGTCTAAAAATAGCGAAGATCATAAGTGATCATTTCTTCCTTTGTAACCGTCTAAAAATAGTGAATAAAATTACAAGGTAATTACTATTACCTTCTTTGATTCTCTAATTTTGTTGTTTTAGCTAACCATATTATTCTACTCTTGTTTGATGCATACAACAAGGTGTGGATTTAACAATTTCAAATATAGTTAATTAGACAAAATTATACATGATTAATATATGGGTCCGTTGCTAATTTTGCTTTTGGCGTAAACGAAACTTTCCAAATCTGTAGCCACATAAATTCAAACCGAAAAGCCAAATCCCATGTTCTCTGAGTTGTAACAATATAGTTAGTAATTAATTATTTTATTAGAGTTTAACTAATATCAACTCATGATTCTATAAATTTACCTTTTTGTGGTAGCAGATAATTATTTTATTTTTAAAGTTACAAACTCATTTTTATAGAAGTTACTAATAAATAAATTTCAGGTAACTTAATAGAGTAAATATTTAGATAAATTCTTAAAAATTAAGATTGATACTATTTCAATTTACATGACATTTTTTTCTTTAAGACCTCTCCAAAGTTATATATCGACGTTAAAGTGACCACATAATTTTTTCTTGATCATTTCTTTTTGTATTTTCTTGTTTTCTTGATCAAATTAATTCTGTATCTATTAAATTAATTTTTTTCCACTACTAGCATATATACGAATAAAAAAAAATTGAATCTGCATATTCAAGATTTATGTTCACTTCATGAAGTGAGTTTCCATCTGTCGGTCCTGTTAATATCAATATCCATTTTTATTATCTGTTACTCCATATGGACTTTTTATTTCAAAATCAAATAGGAGTAGTTATTTAACATTACCCATTAAATACATTTAAAAAAAAATAGTGAAAAGGAAAGAGGACTGGTCTTCATGTGTTTGGATTTTGAGTTTACTTGCAACGACATCTCGACAAAGTATACATATCCTTTTGACGATTCCTAGGTTGGATATTTTCCTATATTAAAGATTCCGATGAAGCATTGAAAACTTAACAACATTCCAAATTTTGATTTTGGTGAAGAATAGATTCTTACTTTCCTAATCTTTCAGATCAGCAACTTCAACTTCAGGTTCGATTCAAGATTCAAGATTTCAACTTCTCTCTCTTCAGATATATATGTTTTTACTTTTTACAACATTTCAAGAAAATTTTCTGCTTCTTTTTTAGGCTAATATTTGACTACTGTTTGTCAAAGTTTGCAATTATTTGTCTTTTACTAATATTTGACTTACTTGTATAGACCAAGTTAAGTAGTAATTAATGAATCTTTGAGATATAATGAATGGAAAAATGGGAACTTTACTCAAAGTGTTTAGTAATTGCAAAGTACTGATCCTTTTTTTGCTTTCTGGTTTTAGGAATTTCCCAACTCATATTTGGTCTAAGCAGATGTTAGTCCTTTTCTGATTCTGGAAAGGATTGTGAGATTGTGACTAAGATGGGGACGCCTATGAAACGCAGGTTCTTAATTTGACACAAATTTATTCATATAAGCATTCCAACTGGTTTGGGATTGAGGCGTAATTGATTGGTTGATCCATTTATTTATTTACTGCTGAATTTCCACAGCTCAAACTCGAGAAGACGGAATGAAAAGATGAGGCTTTTTGTGACTACTTTTATTGGAGTTGTATTCGGGTTTTTCCTAGGTGTAACCTTTCCTACAATTTCATTGTCCAAGGCAAGGGGAGCTACTTCTGATTTTGATCTTGATATAAACATATTTAATGGGGACATTTTATTTTTAAGTCTCAGTTGAATAAGAGCTAATAAGGTAATGTGCTTGTGGATTTCAATTTTGCAGCTGCCCTTACCTACTAATCTTATCCCATCGATTGATCTACCTGACATGGAAAAGTCGGGCCTCTCAACTCAAGCTCTATTAAATGTTTTGAATTCCTTGAAGGATCGCGTTGGCAGTTTACACAAGAATAAGATCCCGAAGGTATTTTACTTGTCACTCCTATAGGCTCCATCAGCTTCTTGTTACTTGTCACTGTTTGTTATAGTAGATACTCCTATAAGATTGCACTTCCATGATTCCATCTTTTGGAAGTTTGTATACCAATTGATGTTTGATCTTTATGCTATTTGGGGAAATCTTGCAGATTTGGGTTCCATCAAATCCCAGAGGCGCCGAGAGGCTACCCCCGGGTATTGTAGCTTCTGAGTCTGATCTTTATACTCGAAGGCTGTGGGGCCTGCCAAGTGAGGTCTGTCATTTCTGCATGTATGCCTATTGAAGTACTCTATTGATTCTTCTTATTACTTGTCAACATTTACTTGTTCATGTTATGTGAACTGATGGCATTATTTGTGGCTTAAAATGCAAAAAAAATCATCCATGGCATTATGTGAATTGGAGGGACGGTTTTCATACAAGCAAAATTGGAAGGAGGGTGTTAATATCAGACACATGTTAGATGGATAGGGAAAGATTATCTGAATAAGATATATTGGAGAAACTGCTGAAGTGGACTGATAGATACATACTTGCATTCTTCTGGTTTCTAGTGCTCAAACAAACATTCTATAATGATTGGTGAGAACCAGTTCAAGGGCAGCTAAAATGTGATTTTAGAATGTCATTGTGCGTTAAAAGTGAACGATGTCCATATCTCTCTCTCCTTTCCTTACCTTTATTTTTGGGATGAGAAAACATAATGATTGTGTATGATGTCCCTCTAGCATAATCAGCTCCATTAATTGATATGCAGGACTTGATCATCAAGCCAAGGTACCTTGTGACCTTCACAGTTGGCCTCAAGCAGAAGAGTAACATTGATGCAGCAGTGAAAAAGGTTGTGCTCGAGTCTCTCTATCTCATTTTCCTTGAAGTCGCTCTTTTGAGCACTGCTCTGTCCTTTTGGGGGGGTATTTTGTTCATGTATAAGGGCCAGAAGTGTAACTAATTTTTTTCTTTTTTTGAGCATAAGTCTTGCTTTGTTTTATGTGCAATACCTTGGCTGTTCTTATCTATAATGTTTTCCTTAGTTCCTGTAACATGTATGTAAATTTATTGATGAATCTCTGCAAATCATTAATAATCAATCTTATTGCCAATCCCACATTTAATCTCATTACAGAATTAGAATTACCAGAGACAGGCACTCATTGTAGGGTGGCTAGCACCACACATAGAGGTCTCATTTTACTATTGCCCAGTATTGGCTCTTGCTACCCATCCAAGTATTGGTTTCTTTTTTCTTTGAAAGTTTTAAAGCTTTTCTGTTATTGTCAAGGCCCACTATTGGTTGTTGCATGATCGCTAAGTTGGATTGTTTGCCACTCATGATTTACATTTCAAAATGGAACATATAGAAAGAAAATGCAGGTTAAGGGTGGGTATGCTGCCAACTTAGGAATATTCAAGTCCAAAATTTTACTTTTGTATCTTTACATTCTTATTCTTGTATTGTAAACAGTTTTCAGAGAACTTTACCATTATGCTGTTTCACTATGACGGCCGAACAACTGAATGGGATGACCTTGAGTGGTCATCGCGGGCTATCCATGTCAGTACACCAAAACAGACTAAATGGTACCCTTCTTGTAAATTCTTTCTATCCTCAGTTCTTCAACATATTTTGATGGATATGTAAGTGCAGTGTTTATTCATTTTTTTGAAAGGTGGTATGCAAAACGTTTTCTACATCCTGACATTGTAGCACCATATGACTATATATTCATCTGGGACGAAGACTTGGGGCTTGAAAATTTTAACGCGGAGGAGTAAGTGATTATTATTAGAGGCATGTGAATTAACAAATATATTGAATTATGTGGAGTCTTGAGGCTTTATGCAACTGCAGATATATAAAGTTGGTGATGAAACATGGTTTGGATATTTCACAGCCTGGTTTAGAACCAAACAGTGGGTTGACATGGCAGATGACAAAAGGGAGAAATGACACTGAAGTTCACAAGTAGGGAATGCAGTACTTTAACTGTATCTACAACTGCTTTGATTAAAGCATATCATGTACACCAAGCTTGATCTCATATACAGTTTATTGCTTCTGCTAATAGGGAAACAGAGGAAAGGCCAGGCTGGTGCGCTGATCCACATTTGCCACCTTGTGCAGCGTATGTAATGCTTGATATTTACCAATAACAACTCTTGTCACTTAATGTTTGTGTCTCAGTATTATTTATCAAAAATGAAAAGGGAGGGTTGGTGTCTATGTTGACTATTATTTTGTTTGCAATCAGATTTGTTGAGATCATGGCACCGGTTTTCTCTCGAGAGGCGTGGCGGTGTGTTTGGCATATGATCCAGGTATCAATTATTAAAGATCTTTCATGTTTTTCCATTCATTGCAACAGCTTCCCCCAAGGCTCCCGCCCCACCCCTGGCCCCTCTCCCACAAACTTCAAAGTAGAGCCAGCAAAGAAAGAAATGTAGAGTAAAATGAAAAGCAATATTGATTCTTTATTGCAGAATGACTTGGTCCATGGATGGGGCCTTGATTTTGCGCTTAGGAGATGTGTGGAGGTTAGTAGTTGTGCTGTGCAGAAAAATTCCCATATGTTCCATTTGAAATGACCTTTTTCCTAATAGTTACTTTTGATGAGCAGCCCGCTCATGAAAAGATCGGAGTTGTAGATGCTCAGTGGATTGTACATCAAACTGTTCCATCTCTTGGAAGCCAGGTATATCCAACTTTCAGATGTAATTGGAGTATATCAGACTAGCATAAATGTTGGCTATAATGATTATCTTCTTTTCTTATTTCTACAGGGTAAATCGGAGAATGGCAAGGCACCATGGGAAGGGGTATGTTAGCTATATTTCATTTTCATGTATGGTGAAATTTGACCATGAATGACAGATGATTAAGGAAAAAATGA